TTTATGCGTATCTTGCTAGTCTGTCTGATTCTCCAAGCGCCGGCTGCAATTGCCCGCATGCAAAAGCATTTCCTGTTCTTTTTCTTTCCCCTTTTCGGTATGAGCGATATTGACAGGCACAATTGTATCTGACATCTATTGCTGGTGGGTTTATAGCGTCGAAGGTGGCATGAAAGAAAAGAGGAGTCACCAGACAGCCGGGAGTAAGTGCTGACACCTCAAGTGACATAATCGTCATTTTGCAATATTGCCATAGTGGAAAGTGTGGCGCTGTTGTTGAATGTAAATCGTGTGCATGAACATTTAAACTAAAGATGGAAAATATATATAAAATAATTGAAAAATATATTTATGTTACTTGTGCGTTTTTTTTCTTACAATAGTACACGAAATCGAAAGGAACAAGAGGCTTTTGTCTTCTTATAGAAATATGAACCAAGCATGGCCAAGTTTTAATGCAAAAACTCTAAAATATCTTAAGAAATAATTTTAAAAATTTGAAATCAACTGAATCTGAAAGTGAGGGTATTGTGGGTAGATTATTTTTAGTCTACGGTGTGAGCTTATGCCTAGTAGTTGGATATTAAAGACGTTTCGATGGAACTTCAAAGCACCGAATCGCTAATAACTGCTAATTTCCTCAAGTGGCTTTAGTTAAGTGGGCACCAGTAACTCTCTATGCACAGCTTGTTTCTCACATAGCAAGGTGCACTCACTATTATTTATTTGTGAAATATCTAAATTACTGATTTTAGGAACCAATACGGTAGCGTAAACCGTTAGCCAGTAAGGCTTCCCTTTATTTTCAAGTGATATCTCCAAGTACCGGTCTAGTCGATTGTGGTCAGAGAAATTATGAATTTGTGGAGAAGGCAGTAGGGTTGCTGCTCGGTACCAAGAGTACAGAGTCGTAGGTTGCCGTAATTTTAGAGTCCGATCTGATTAGGGTCTTAGCATCGTTACCGCTGACATAGATTTCATATATCACTTTCATATATCACAAGTGTTCTATTCCGTGGAATTGCCCGACAATGGCCCTCCCCCAGCGGACAGGAGGAAGAAATTTCCCGCCTTAAAGTATGCCGGTTTTAAGAGGCGACGAAAATCTAATATGCACTATGCCTGTTAACTGGTTTCCAAATTTCAGCATAGTCTTGCCAGAAATAATGCTAATACTCAGCATAAACTGATATTATAGAGATTGAATGAGATTCCTTGTATTGAAATGTCATTTGAAGTTCAAGCGACAAATGTTATTAACTTTGATGGGTGGTCAACTGGTAGCAGCAAAAAAATATGATCGAAGATTTAAATCTGATAACTAGGGAGCAGTTAGCCCTTGGAGTTTATAGTTAACCCTTTGGTGGCTGTGGTTTAAACTTAAAGGTAGGTATAGTTTAAAATTCAGTCCAATGTGGAGTCGCACTGCGACGGGTGCCGGACCCACAGCAGAGATTTTAGGTCGGCCTCAAGCCCTATCAAAGTGGAGAAGGATTCCCTTTCATCTGACTAATCGGCGCTGATCAACGCATTGCTTTTACGCATTTTCTTTTAAACATCGTGGTATAACGCTGTCGTCAGTAGGTACTCAAGTAAAAACACAACGCCTTTGTAACATAAAGCCTTTTAATGTAAAACTGATAATTCAGATTGAGTTGTTTCCCCGTAATCAGACGTAAACGACTGCGCGAAAAAGTAACTACTAACCGGCACGTTCATAAATCCGAACATTTTCATTGTAGTTATTTTTTCTTATCTTTATAATTTTTTCAGTAAATATTCATATTGAAATATTCATATATTCTCGAGTAATACGGATCAATATTATGGGATAATTATTTGGAACTAGTATTCTAGAAACAAGAAAAGTTTTAACATTTCTGTAAGATCTATTCATATAAAGCTCACTTCTAAAAATTAAAAATACCGAATATAGTATTATATCTCTCGCTTTTGTACTCACATTGATTATGCTCTCTCCCTGTGCTGTGATCTTGTGAATTCCATGAGCTCGGTGTGGCATCAATATAAAGATTGTTTAAGGCTGATGACGATGATGTATCTGCAATATTCGATTTTGTACGGTGAATTTTTTTACTGAATCGTTGATCTACATATATTGTTGACGCGAGCACCCATTAGATTTGTTGTCGTCATTTTAAGAGAAATTAAATTGGTAAATGTATGCAATAAAATGTCTGTGTGTATTGATTATTGGTATGTATGATAAGTAGAGTATTCTGCGTAAACCTCATTTATCCTGTACTAACATASACGCCAAGAAAAACGATGAAACAAGCTGTGGACTAATAACATAAATAGGACAAAAATTTGTATTAAGTTGTTGAGGGAGCTTCCCAGGTAAGGTAAGGTGGGTCAGAGTGAAATAATTGTACTTAGAGGAAGCGTAAAGACTTGTGGTGCTATAGGCATATCTGTAACTAAATTGCTTGTTGTGAGGAGGAGAACATGCGATGAGTGGAACTTAATTTTACGAAATAGTTCCGTTTGATTATTTTTTTAATTTATTTATATTTTTTCGGTCTATTTCATTTATACACACCTTTGTTGTTGTATTTCGTAACCACTACTGGCACAGTGTTTAGAGCTACCGTCGGTGCTAATGTGGTTACTGTCGTTGTTTGCGGAATATCTGCAATGAAAAAAGAAAAAATATAGAACAAAGGCAAGAAGAGTGAAAAAGAGTCTAGTATAGTGTAGTACATGACTTGAAGTGGAAGCTGCACAGTTTCACTTTGTAGTATTTAAGTTAGTGAAAGAATTTAATGAATATTACTTATATACAAGTATAACAAGTTTTTATGATGTTTTGTTGTTAGATTTTCCGAAATATTTTGAATCGAATCATTTGGTAATAGCTTTTAGTGAAATTGTAAAAAAAGGAGAATAAAATTTCTTGTAATAAATAGTTAGAACACAACGTAGAAAATATTTGTATAAAACGAAAGTAAAAATTTGCATTCCTCCTCACAACTATAAAAAAGAACCAAATGGAAAACACATGAAACTAGTAATTAAGGCAATTAGGCAATAAGGATTAATTATACTCTACTTGGATAAAACGAAAATGTACTGACGAATGTACCACAAAAAGATTTGTTGGAAAGTAATTCATTAATATACTATTTTTATTAATTATTTTTTTTTTTAGTTAGCACTTTAAGTTTTGATAAACAAAAAAAATTTTTTTTTTGTTTTCTGTTGTACCTGAATTCAAGATTTTATTTAGCATGGTTAAAATGACTCAATTTATATGAAGTAAGTACCGTTTTCTTCGATAACTTGTGTTATTTTTTATGCCCGTTTATAATGCAAATTTTGTAAAAACCCTCATTCATATTCGCAATAAACTTTTGAAGCGATTTTTAATTTTATCAGCCGAGTTATTTGTCAC